GGGCTCTCCTCTCCAGGTCAGGACATGGAGGCAGCACCCAGAGCCCCCAGGTGGGACAGCACAGGGCATGCAAAGCGCCTGTGGAACAGGAAGGGGTTGCGAGATCCCAAAGAATTTTCACTTTTTTGTATTTTTTTCCCCCCAAACAATACATTCTAGGCATTCTCACCCAACTCAGGGGATGATTTCCCAGTGGCCCCTGTCCCTTAGGTGCTAAAAGTCCCATCTATTTCAATTGAAACTTGGTTTTGCATGGACCAGATTTTCAAAGGTGTTCCGGCCCTTAAACCTACCGATTTGTGCCAAGCGGGATTCTTTTCAAAGCGCCTCAACATTTTAAACGTCTCAGGGGAGAACGGTGCCAAATCTCACCCTACAGATCCCACCCCTGGTCTCTGGATGCAGCATCTCAGGGCTGTGATAGCCTCAAATGAATGCGTGCCCCAAAGCTCGGAGCAGCACACACCTCTCCACACCCAAACATCTCCCATTCCGCCACGCACCCTTGTGTTCCCATACAGTCAGCCAGCCCCAACAGGAGCATCTGATCCACCATGACAAAACCTGCCCTTATTTTGTGCACTTCCACACGCTGTCCCTTCTCCCAGCGACGCCAAATAATTAACATATAAAAGTCTGGTGATAAGTGAAGTTTACGATCCAAACCAGAGGAATGAGGGCTCAGAAGTGAACGTTATAAGAGCCCTGTGCCCATAAACATCCCACTTCTGGTGGGCTACCCAGCCAATTAATCACACGCAGAAATGCTGGCCGAGCATTCATTGCCCACATAAGCTCCTTGCTGAAAAACAAACCTCTGGAGCTGTCAGGAGAATAGTAAGGAGGAGACGGCGTGCTGGAGAGAAAAATACACACAGAGCAAGAGTAGGACGTGACCTGTATTTTACAGGGCTTTTTTGTGTGTCTGCTCTGCTGTAGTAAAAAAGAGAAATCCGTCTTCTCAATGGGGGAAGGAGAAACAGGGAAAATAAATGCTGGCCGAGTTACAGGACTCTTAGAAAATCAGGAACTCGTTCTTCAGTTTAATTTTTGAGCTGCTGCAAGCATCAGCTCCTCTCAGAGCAGCAGACTCCAACTGCTGGGGACACAGTGAGGTGCTGGGGAGCACCCAGTTGGTGGTACTGGACTCAGCTCTGGGTTTTGTGGGGTTCCCTTACATAAGGACACCCCAAAAGGAGGAGGAGGGCTGCAGTTTAACCAGAGAGCAGCGCTTTACCTTCATCCCCTCGCTGTACCTGAGGACCCTGAAGATGCGGATCCTCTGGAGCGCGTGGGTCACCTCCTGCAGGTTGGATATGCAGGGGTGGATATGCAGGCAGAAGGCAATAAGGAGGATGTCCAAGGTGCCATAACCGCTCTTCCTGTAGCCGATGGGGTCCACATACAGTTTCATCAAGTGCTCAGTGGTAGAAGCAGAGAGGAAGAACGCATCTGCCAGCTGCAGAGAGGAGCTCCTGGTTTCACATTCGGCGCCACCAACAACCCGCTCTGCTCCCAAGGACCTCTTCAAAACCACTGAGCTCCCTTCTCAGCAGGGTCCTGGCCACATCCCTACAGATCCCCCTCAGCCCCTGCCCCAGGGACGTGCCCTGTGCTCCCACACCAGCAGCTGCTGGAGCTCTCAGAAACCTCCGCAGCTCATGACGGGGTTTCCTGACGTTAGCCAGGCCCGGCTCATATATTATAGGGATATATAATTAAGGCACAGAGGTTTGCATACAGTAGCTGGCTCGTGTGAGACAAGGAAATCAGGGTGTGCGACCAAGTGGGATTTTCAATGTGAAAACTAAGCATTAAAAGGGTGCTTAAAACTGACTGTGCCAAAGCCGCGAGGGGGGAAGGGCTGCCACGGGGAGGACTGAACAATTGCATTTCAAGAACAATCATTATCGAATTAGCAGAGAGGTTTGAAGCTTGCCCCTGAAATGCATTCCCTGGCACAGTCCCGTCACAGCAAGGCCCTGGGTTTCTACAAGCTTTGGATGTGGCACTGCTGGGTGGTCACTGGGACTGGTCCCAGCTGGTGGCACGTGACTGCTGCCATGGATTTGCCACTGTTCTGAGGAGGAATGGGGCTGCATCTGTCCCCTCGAGGTGTGCCACTATGACTCAGCTGCAGCCGGTAGAAGCAGTCTGTCTCCACAGCCAGGAGGGTGGTGTTGGTGGAGATGATGGGCGACGTGAGCCTTTTGGACTTGGAGTTGTCCAGCAGTGTGTGCAGGGAGGCACAGAGCTTGGGATCCCTTCTGCCAGAAGGAAGGGGAGAGATGGAGGGGCCAAGCAGCAAGGAGAGCTGAGAACAAGGAGCACCAATGGGCCCAGCTGCCCCCAGAGCTGCGGGAAGGGCTGGGGTGCATGGCCATCCATCTTGCCTATGGACATGCTGGGTGGGTGCAACTGAATCCAGGTTGAAGACTTCTTTAGGAACTTTGCAAAAGGGAAATCCTGATCCAGGTCTTCCTCCAGCCAGGCTGGCCCAGGACCAGCAGCTCCCACAGAAACAACAGCTGGAGGAACAACCTGATCATCACATGCACACTAACTCAGCCTATAAGGAGCTTGCTCCATGCGTACCTGAGCTGGAAGATGTGAGTGTATCTTTTCGCTATGTCACATAGAGATCAGGAGAACTTCATAAGAAGATTGGAGGTGGGTTGTCCTCCCTGGCAAAAGCCTGGGTTCTCCCTGCCACCCCAAGGCACAGCAACTGCTGGGATCTGCTGATTGATGGTCGTGAGGTCAACCTCCAGCTGAGGAAACCCCACTGCTCCAGGATAAACAAAAACTCTGCGCTACAACAACAGACGCTGATGATTCTTAATTAATTGAGTTTGCATTGCTGAGCAGTTTAGGCAAACTATGCCTGTTTTGGCTTAAGATTTATGGAAATTATTGGCAAAACTGCTTTTAATGCAGCCCTGCAGTGGGGAACAGACCCCAGAGGCGCCGACAGTCCTCCCACGGGCTCTGCCTCCGCTGGCCACTGGCGTATAAGTGCTTGTGCACTTCTCCTGTGCCACCACATCTGCCTGAGCCAGAAGCAGTGCTGATACCAGCTCAACAAGGAGCTCCATCGCAGCACGGAGCTTCCCCCTGCACTGCTGCAGCGCCGTGTCCTGCAGCCCAGCCTGGCTCTCACACAGCACCGCTGGCAGCCGCGTCTGGACTGCCTCCAAAGTCCGTTTGCAAGCGACTTGTCAGCTCCTGACCAAAGGGTCCAACTCTGCAACAGATCTTCGGCACGAGCAGCGCTTACATAAACACAGCCTTTGATGTCAGCGGGAGAACTCGCATCCATGTTTGCTTTCTGCTTTTTTTTTTTCTTGAGGGAAAAGAGAAAGGGCATGAACAATTGCTAATTTATTTCAATTTGTCAGCATTGCTGTGCCTGCTAGCCTGGCCGCTCCACGAGCGCTTCTTCCAGGACACACATATGTTTGGCTCATCCTGAGCTGCAGCTTTGCTTAAGCCACAAATATTTGTTGCTTGGCACAAACAATTGTGAAAAACTGAACCTAGCTCACACTGAGGATCTCATTAGCTTCAGTTAATTGGCAATTGGCTCATTAATCTGAGGCTGAAAAAGCCAGAGGATGCACACATACCTACAAGCTCAGAGCTTTCAAAATTGACATTGTAGGCTCAGGGAGCCGAAAGGAGCAAGGAGGAGACCTCGTGCTGGGGTGAGAGGCCATCTCTGCTGCACTGGGTGTGCATCCTGCAGTTTGCTGGAGCTGGGCTCCCAGTTTGGGGAAAGGAAGGATAACAAGCCGCTCCTGTTCCTGAGCAGTCCTTGGAGCTTTTGGGACCGGAGCAGCAAACCCCAGGTAGGAGAGCACAGCAGGCATCCCTCATGCTCTGCTCTCCCAGCCCCGTGTGTTCGGTTTTTAATTTCCTGTGGCTGCAGATCAGCATTGCAGGGGCTGCACTTCCCAGTGGCTGCGGGGTGGGTCGGTGAGGTGGCTCAGCTGAGATGCACACAAGTAGCTCTCAAGGAGAAGGCCATTTCATGATGGATTATCGAAATACTTCAAGCCACAATCAACTTTAAAGCAGAAAAAACCCGAACATTCCAGGGGAATATTCAACCTGGTGGCTTCTAGCCATGCTGTGAGCCTCACAGGAAGCAGAAAAATGCAATTAGTTTGCAAGAGCGGAGGATGTGGTGCTGCTGCCATCGAACCTGCCCAAAGAGGAACTGATCAGCAGGGAAAGTTGGGCAACTGCTGGAGCCCACCTGCTGCAAGGCAACAAAGCAGAGCAGCTCCTGAGATGCCATCACCTGGAGAAGCCCCAACACTCACAGTCTGGCTACTTTTGTTCAGAGCAGAGCTAACTGATGCTCTTTGCAATGCAGCCTCAGGCTGTTTCCTGGCTGGGATCCCATATCTGTCATTAAATCCATGCTGTATAAATTAGCAATTACCCATGAAGCTCCAGCTTGGTCAGGGAGACCAAGGTGCCCTGATCGGTGCCCCAGCATCCTGCACTGACCACCTCCACACGGGTGGAGGAGAGCTGAGGGGATGCAGGAGAAGGGAACGGGGCTGGGTGGCTCCACCTGGCTCTCAGCATGGATTTAGGGAGCCACAGGATGGGGGTGAGAGATACTGCAGGGATGAGGAGCTCGCTGAGGGTTCCCCATGCGACTGGGCTGCAGTTCAGAAATGCCCCAGTAATTAACATCTGAACAAGCACTGACCTGGGGACCACACTGCTGTGAGCATTCCAAAACTGTGCTCCTCCTCTTGAGCTGGTTTTGCTTCTTCCCCAGGCTGGGAGCTGCGACGTACGGTGGCTGCACAGCTCTGTGCCATGCAGACAGCGGCGCTCAGGGAGAAATCAGTTGGAGGGGATTTTTTCCTCCGAGTATGTAAATAAATATCAATACTCTAAACCAAAGACCACCCAGTGACTAAATATTATTTATCTTCAAACTAAACAGCTTTGTCACATATGTATAATAATAAAGAAACAAATTACAAAGGAGGAATTTGATTTTATTGGCTTGATGCGAAGCATTGGCATTCTGTATCAATTTCTAACAGCAGAGTTTGCACCGTTCGCTGCAGATATCGTCCAAACATTGGTGAGACTCGCTTCACTCCTCCACCAGGAACAGGAGACATCACAGCCTGACTTGAAGCTGTACCAGTGAAATCTACCACTTCAGTGGGGAAAGGCACTCTGCAGCAAAGAACATTGGAGCATGCTGCTTGAATCCGGGTCTGTTTTAGGTTTTAATATCAATATCCCAGTACAGTCAGCATCCGTAAAGCCCAACCTCTCACATCTTGCCTCCTGCCACCAATTAGCACATGACAGTGCACTTACTGAGCATTAACAAAAATACCATTCCTATTTTACCGACAGCAGTGTCTGCATGTCAGCTACTGGCATTTTGCATTCTGAATAGCTGAGAGACCACACACTCTGTGCACACACCCAGAATAGATCCTGGCAGCCACTGCCCCTCGATGTGTGTCTCAGTTCCCAGCCGTGCCCTCGGTGACCCCAGCCACGCTGCAGGCATTTCACAGGGGTCACTTTGCCAGTGCTGCACTCGAGGGGCTCACAGGGCACACGGGGACTGGCAGCTACAAGGAGGGTGAGCATAGCTCTGGCCGAGCCCAGCTTAGCAAGAATCCTGCTAATGCTGCTTCCCTCACTGCCGGCACCCGGCCAGGCTCCCCCTCCCATCCTGCAGGTATGAGCAGAGCGAACAGCTCCGTCCTGCAGCGTGCTGGGTGCTGCCTGACCCTGCACTGCACCCAGATGTACTGCGTTTCATTAACACTGCCAGGAGCTGAGACCTGGTGCTATTTGCTGGAGCAGCACCGGGGATATGGAAGTCAGCACTGAAAAGGGTGAGCACGGGCATTCGGAGGGGTCTCTCAGATAAAAGCTGTAAAGGCAAACAAAGCTACGCCACTCTTTACAGAATACTTTGTCCTTTTGGGGGGGGGGAGGAGGGGTGAAATCAGAGTTACAATGAATGAGGGACACCATTCAAAATACAAGACAGCACCTTAAAATGCCACATACCTGCACTATACGGAGGCAGCAGCCTTGTCAATGAACTGAGCCAGCTTCACGTCTCTCTTGGTCAGTCCACCACAGTCATGGGAAATGAGGGTGATCTGAACCTGCCAGGAAGGAGCAGCAAGGTGTTACAAGGATGGTGCCCCGTGGAGAAACCGTGCCTGCCCACCCACAGCTCCTCTGGGTGTATCTATTGGACAGCACAGATCTGCCAACACTGCAACACAGTGCAGTGAGAAGCACCAGGAAAACAAAACGATGGGGGAGCAGCGGTTTCCCCCTCACACAGCACCTTTCTTCCAAGGGTTGCAGAGCACATTCTAACCTCCATAATCGCAAGACCAGCAGCAGCCAGGCAATGTTATAAACAAGTTTTATAAGCTGCTACGCTGAGACACAGGAGCCGAGGATGTTTCACAAATCCAATCCAAATTTAGGTTGCCAGGCTGCTATCCAGGTACCTGCACACTGCACAGACAGAAACGAGAGCTGGTGGGAGCTCAGAGGCTCCAGCACAGCCACTCACTCAGGCTGCCTACACAAGAGGTTAAAGGCTTCTGCTCTGCTCTCAGATCTCAGCCAGCAAGGCACAGTGCCAGCCCTGAGCCACAAACAGCCGGATGCCCGGTGCCAGCACCCTGCTACCGATCACAGTACCTCTTTAAAGTCCCACATCTCTAGAGAAAGACACATCATCTCCTCATTCCCTCCACTCCCCCACTGCATACAAACCACAGAAAGGACGCAGAAGATGGGCCAGTGCTTTGGTCTGTGTGTGTAATCCAGGCTGGTGGACACGCTACCTTGCTGTAGACGTTGAACCATTCCGGGTGGTGATTCATCTTCTCTGCCTGTAGAGCAACTCGTGTCATAAATCCAAACGCCTAGGGGAGAAAGAACAGAGAGGAAAGCCTTCCTCCATCTGCCAGGACATAGATGGCAGATGTTCTGGCAGCTGATCTGCAACAAGATTCACTCTGAAATCTCAGAACCTGCTGGTGAAGTATTTTTGGTCCTTGAGCCACCAATGTGCTTCCTGACCTCACTGAAATCCTCCCCTTTGGGTCCTGGTGAATGACTGCTCAACATTAATTGCTCCATGATTCAAAGCTGTTGTCCAGGAGCAATGATTTTACCCTTGGCACCCAAAAATGGTTTTAAACCTCCATCCCAGCAGCCCTCACCCCTCACTACTCCTTTGCCAATGTGTCATTTTCCAGCTAGGGCTTATGCCACAATATTCCCATATTGGACAGACAGGACTTCCAGAAACACATCCTCTCACGTAACTATTTTGCTATTTATTTTATTGGGGGGAGAAAGGAGGCAGGTGGCTTTGCCTCTCTGCTTTATGAGAAAATATTTTACTTTAAGTGAGTTAAAATGGGTTTCCCAACCCTCTGCCCCTATATTCTGCACAGCACTTTCCCCCAGGATGCAGGTTTTATCACAGGCTCAAGAAGAAAATAATAGCATGCCTTTGCCAAAATGCTTAAGAGCAAATCACTGCATTATAAAGAAAATGAGAACATCCATGTAAATCAAGAATGCAATTATGCAGTGGGGTCCAAAGGGCCTCAGTGCGTGTGCAGAACGCCTGCAAGTCAATGGGCTCTATTCAAGCTGCGCTCCATCCATCAGGGTTGGGGCCTAAATTAACATGCAAAGCCAATGTAACATCCACATTATAGTCTGGTTCATATTAGAATGCAACGATCTCCACAAAGACCTATCTGATTTAGGTAAGTTTGTAGCGCTCATTTATGGAAGAGAATGTATATGGCCTGCATTCCACCGAGCGATGGCCGCTTCAAACAAACATGTGGTCAATGAATAACGTATAATGGCTGATAATAGTTTCAGTCTTTTTTCCTCTCACAAATTACAAAAACCTTTAAGGAAGGAAAAAAAATAGCATCGGTGCCTGGATGAAGTATGACTTTGTTAGTCGCTTTGCCAGCCCAATGAATGCAAACGTTATAATCAGAGAAAATCATTCCAATGAGGCTTGTCATTTGGAAATCACCAAACTGTCAGCAATTAAAAAGCTTTTTTCCTTGACCCAAGAGCATTCCAAAATTCGGGAAATCCAACTTCCCTTGAAGCTCTCGTTTGGTTTCATTTTCCTCGGAGTGAACAATTACTTTTAAAAGATGCCCCATGTTTCAGCAGCGCGCTTTGAAGCACAGAGCAGTACGATGTGCATCAGCAACAAAACATCTGCATTAATAGCTCTGAAACACTGCATTCCCTCGTTCTCAGACTGCCCAAGGAATCGCAGTAGGAATTGGATAAGACTCTATTAAGATTGAGATCTTAAGTAATCTATTGGCAACCTGCACATTTCCACAGCAGCCTACACAGAGAAAAATTAAGACAGCATCGCAACCGCCAACACTTGCACAACTTCTTTGTACAAAGAACAGCAGAAGGAAAGCCAGATAAAACCTTTGGAAAGCTCCACCAGGTCCACATGTCCCCCACCAGGGTCTGTGCGTCCACCCAGGCAGGTCATGCAGACACATGTGGGTTAGTGGGACTGGGGTTTCCCAAACCCCACAAGGGATGCCCAAGTACCCACACTTGTGCCCGTGCCCCACTGCTCTCCCTCACTGCAAAGCTGAAGCCTCTCACTTTTGTGCACCAGCTCATTTCAGTTATATACAAAATAGAAGCATCTCCCGCAAAGAAAATGAGCTACAGTTCTACTGAGCAATTTCACCAACGCAATCTCCATTACGGTCCTAAATACTTCCTCTGCTAATTAAATGAATTGGAATGCTATTGTTTGGGAATCGCCTCGCTATTTGTAGAGCCGTAACCTCTCTTTGAGAAAATACAATTGGTTCTGCAAGGAAAAGATATTTTGCTTGATTAGATATGAAAACACTATTACATAAAATCAGTTCGGACATTTCTTCACGTCTTGAAACTTGATCGGTAATTTGGTCTAATTGGTGATCAAGGAAACTATCTTGTGATCAATTAAAGTAATTACCACATTCCGGCAACACAACCAACCTTAATTTGAGCAGGAGTCTGCACTTCTTCAACTTTAATTAAAAATAATGAAAATTATTAAGCAGTCTGCAGTGCAAGATCATTGTCAAGACTGCAGCAGTGGGCAGGATCCATCAGCCCAACACACGCTGCTGGCTGAGCTGGGACAGGCACTCAACGCCGATCGCGACCTTCACTGCAGCAACAGCTCTGCAGCCCCTCTGATGTTAAGGGACACATTTTTCCATCTTTCCTTGAGAAACAAAGAGAGCAGTAAGAAGGGATGTCTGCATTTTCTAGAAGCCACGAAGAAGTGTGAAAGGAGCCTTTGTTGTATTAACTATCATAAAGCATTCTATTTTTTCGGAATGAGAGGAAGATATTTTCAACATAAATCTTTCAGGACATTTTGTCTGGAGTAACAGCTGGATACACAGGTTAGTCTAAGTTTGATGCATCACTTGGGACCTGGAAGATCACAGAGACCTGCAGCGAGGCACGAACAGCACCAGGGAAGCGATGAGCGAAGCAACCCCGAGCAGACAGGGAGATCCTTGGGTGTGCCAGTATGTCTCTTCCCTTCATGTCTTTTAAGATCATGAAAGAACTAAAAACTAAGGGTGTTTCGCATGTAATATCACTTCTAAAAATGGTTTTTAAGCCATGCCGTAGCATGCCTCCATGAGATAAAAATCAGAGCTACTCTCTGAAGAGCACATTAACCTCATAAAGTCGTAAAAGAAAAAAAGCTTTGAGAAGTGACAAAACACGCTATCAGAAAACGAGACTTAATGTGACTTTTGTTGCCAGAGAATGGGAAAAGCAGGGCTGGGCGCTGCGCTCCCAGCAGTGGGAGGAAAGCTGAAATTCCATCCACCGCTCCGCACCGCGCTTAACAGCTTCGGGAGAATCGTGGGATCCCGGGGCTAATCTGCTATTATTCTTCCTTCCACACTTCTTAAGCAAGGAATCAATTCATCTTCACGCTTTTTAAACACTCTGCTTTTGCACGGCGCTTGCCAACATTATCTCGATGAGTTACACATCAAAGCGGTGCGGGTCGAGATGTCGCGCTCATACATCACCCAGCAGCGCGTCCCCGGTGATGGATCACCGCAGTGCATCTCCTGAGAGCAGCAGCTGACAGTGCTCGACTCCAAGATGGAGGTGCTCCAGAGAAACAGCCGCGAGGCCCAACAACGTGACCGTGCGGCGGGCTTCAGTTATTTGTTTTAAAGTGCAAGAGTTACAAAGGGAGCACCAAAGCTTCCTAAATCCTTCAGATGCTCGGCCAAGGAAACCATATGCTAATCACGAGTACACTGAGGGTTCTGCCTCCCATCTGTCATTATAATGCTGGAGGTAGCATTAACCTTGGCCCTCTGCAGTGTGAGGGCTACCTGTCTTCTCTTCCACACCCACCCAAGCTGCATCGGCATCATTTATCAGGCTGCCCAGAGAGGTTGTGGATGCCCAAACCCTGGAGGCTTTCAAGGCCAGGTTGGATGGGGCCCTGGGCAGCCTGGTCTAGTATTAAACGGAGAGATTGGTGGCCCTGCCTGTGGCAGGAGGGTTAGAGATTCATGATCCTTGAGGTCCAACCCAGGCCATTCTGTGATTCCGTAAGAAACCAGCAAACAAAACACATTACAGCAATGTTGTCAGACACAGCAAGAGATGACCACTCTCAGCACGCTTGCTTTCCATCCACCCAAGGAAGAGCCCTCCCTGTGCACAGACACAGCGTGTGTTCTCCTTTGCAGTCTGACACTTCTAACAACAAACTCTAATCACTGCAGTCCATTTCCAAACTGGAGCAGCTTTCACACACCCAGCTCACATCAGCACCTTCCAGTGAGCAACGGGTCAGCAGAGTGAAGGAAAAGCTCTCTGATGTCGAGCTGTACGGAGTTACGTGTAGCCAGCCCTGAGGGTTTAACTCAATCTCATGACATCAAAAACCCACGGCTTGTTTCATTTTCATTCTCTTTGTTCCATTAGGAAATACTCCCATCGTATAATTATGCAAAAATCAGCTTACAACAAAGAATGCAACTGATGTTTAAGAAGGTGAAGGCAGCACATGAGGCCTGGCATCCATTCTGAAAGACACGTTTCCATGTTGGGCTCATTGGCACCACTGGGCTGCCAGAGTCAACTCCAGGAAACCTGGGAAGCAGCGACTGTGCCATGGCCATGTGTCCCATCCCTCCATCCTCCCTGGGAAAGGGGAGCGTGGCTGCGGAGCATAAAACAAAGCAAAACAACTGAAAAAACCTTCATTCAAAACTTCACTATCTACACTTTTCTGCATTTACAACCCCCATCCCAGTACTGAGCTGCACACATCCCTTCCACAGACACAAAACGCCGCTCTGCTCTCTAAAAGAAGTCACCTATTGGCACGCACATGGTGGCTGCAAACACTGCCCTCCGAGTTCCACGCTGCCTATGTGAAAACCTTTTCACTGTGCTCTACAAAGAACGCTGTTTCTGTCTCTCAACACTTGTTTACAATTATGTCGGTGAAGAAACCAGCTAGCCAGCTCTATATCAAACATTTCTGACAGCAAAAGCACAAACACTGATCTATTCTAAGTAGTTTGCCACTCTGTGTAATCTTGGAAAAGGCATTCCTGCCTTTGATTCTAAAAATGTTTATACTTCATACATTATGCAAATAGTTTTTATATATTAAGAAATAATGCAAGCAAAGCTCAAGTTAAATTAAATTCTTCAACAATAACCTTGCCAAAGCACTGATTTTCCTATAAAAAAATTATTCCAATTTGTTGATCTTACATTGGATGAAACATACTGTAACAATCTTCATAATTTATGTCCTGTTGGGACACTATGATTTAAAGTAACATAATACAGACCA